TATTTTTTTTTGTTTTGTTTATTCAAAACACCAACCAACCAACCAGTTGTTGTTGTTTTTTCCTCGAATAAATAAATTCAACAAAACCGGCCTTTATATTATTAATAACCACAGAGTTTTATTTTTTGTATTTCAATAATAGATTAAGGCTCCACAATCAGCTGAGATTTAAGGTTGAATTCCATTTGGAGGAGACCTTTGGTCAGCGGTTTCATTCTAAACGCTTCATTACAAAATAAACTCTCCCTAGTCAACTGATTATTTTCTTCTTCTTCTTCTAATTTCGAAATTATAGGTCAATGTTAATGATGCTGTTTTTTATTTTTTATATAATATAAATAAATAATTATTCATATCCAATTGAAAGCTTAGCTTGTAATTCCAAAGAAAATCAATTGATTTTATGTGATAATAATACAACAACAACAAAAACAATAAGAAAATATCAATACACAATGTTAATTATTTTTTCTAACATATCTGTGGCAAATTACCTACATTTTCTAAGAAAAATACAACAACAACAATTGTAAAAAACATGAAAATAATAATTTAATTTATTGTTAGATAAATATCGAAAACAGTATTCAAAATAATATATGTATTTCATAACAAAATATTTTTTCAAGCCACCACAAGACGTGGATTCTTTAAAAAAATGTTTTTTGAAGAATACACAAGGCGTGGATTTTTTAAAAGGCTTATCTTGGCCCTCCTTTCATGTCAAATGTGGACACCGACCTCCCCGCGGTGTCACCTGGGTTAGCCATTTTCATCAGCCGTTGAAATAGTGAGCTAGGAGTCTAAACGCAACCAGAGAGTCACGAGTCAGCGTCATACTTTTTCGCCGGCGTGAAAACCAAACGAAAGAGTTAGCGTTAGCGGCACAAAATGTCAATTATTTGTTTTAATTTTCTGACAGAAAATTTTACGTTGTGCAAACCAAAATCAATTTATTATTTAATAAACAATAATGTCAAGGAATTTGGATAAAATTATTGAAAAAAATATTTTTCTTCCATTTTATTAATAATTCATTAAAAAACATCCACAATCTTTGAAAATATTTGTTTTTTTAACAGTACTGTCATATGTTTTGATATATATTCTCATTGAAATTTGGTAGCACTGTTGATTTTTACCCAAAATATGGCAACTCAATTGAGAGCAAGAGAGAAATTTTGAGTATGACGCTGAGCAAAAATGAATAAAATCTATTCTAGCGTCATGCCGCTAGACGCGAACGTCAGCCGTCGCGATTTCCCGTTGCCAATAAGAAACACACGGCAAACGACTGTCGCTGACTCTAGACTCTATGGTTGCGTTTAGACTCTAATATGTGCCGCGAGTTCATCCATAAGAACTATAAAAAGTGGGTTGAGGCGTCGGGTTAATTGTCCACACTATGAAAAAGAAAACCAAACCCACATAATGTTGACGACCCCCGCAAACGTATAAAGGACCACGATCTGCGAATCTGCACTTGGAATGTGCGCACGTTGTACAGAACAGGCTCAGTTCTTGCTTTGGCGGATGTACTCAAGAAGTACAAAGCCGATATTATTGACTTACAGGAAATGCAATGGCATGGGACTGGCGTAAGCAAATCAGATGATTACGCCCTGTATTATAGCTGACATGAAACGAGACGTGAATTTGGCTGCGGATTTATGGTTAACAGGAGAATAAAATACGTCGTCTGCAGATTCAGTAGATGAGCGAATTGCTATAATCCGCATAAAAGCGAAGTTCTTCTACATCAGTCTTATTTGCGCCCATGCTCCGACCGAAGACAAAAATGAGCAGACCAAAGAGATATTTTACGAGAGCCTAGAAACAGCATATGATCGTTGCCCTGGCCATGACATTAAAATTCTGCTAGGAGATTTTAATGCAAAAATCGGAAGGGAAAATATCTTTGGCCCCAACGTCGGAAAATTCAGCCTCCATGAAGAAACATCAGACAACGGCATAAGGTTGATTGACTTCGCGGCAGCAAACAACATGGTAGTTAGCAGCACCAGATTCAAGCATCTCCAAATACACAAGGCCACTTGGATTTCTCCCTATCGAAAAACGAGAAATCAAATAGATCATGTGATAGACGCAAGGCATTCCAGTTTTTTAGACATCGGATCGATCCGAGGAGCAAATATCGATTCCGACCACTACCTTGTAGCAGCCAAGGTTCGCACTTGTCTTAATGTAGCAGCAAAGGTGCCACCTAATGTAACACGGAAACTCGACGTCGATAAGCTGCAAACACAACATGGAGCCGAGGCCTACTCCGCTCAACTTAACCACCTTCTTGACGAAAGCACTTCTTGTCCCGATAATAGTATAGAAGCACAATGACAAAGAATTGCCCACTCCCTACAAACTGCAGCAAAAGCAACACTTGGGTACCACAAGCCACCATAAAGAAATCCATGGTACGATCAGGAGTGTCGTAATGCTACTGATGTGAAAAACGCAGCGTATAGGGTAACCCTGCAGAGAGTAGCAACACGTAATGTGATGGAGAATTATCGGGAGAAAAGGATAGAAGAGAAACGTGTTTTCAGAAAAAAAAACTAAGAAAGAACAAGAAAAACGTCAGCGTGAGTAGATCGAGATGCACAGGAGTCAGAATAAAGTCCGGAAATTTTACCAACGAGTAAAACACCAAACCGAAGATTTTGGTGCAGGCACATCCTCATGTAGAGATGAAGGAGGAAACCTGGTGACAGATACAAACAGCGTGTTGAGGATCTGGAAGGAACATTTTGAAAAGCTTCTGGTATCAAGTAGTGACGATGAAGAAGATACCCCAGAACCAATAAGAGATGATATTATAGAGTGTATACCACCTAGCCAAGATGAGATCATAAAATCAATTAATCGGCTCAAAAACAATAAAGCAGCGGGATCCGATGGGTTACCAGCCGAACTATTCAAGACTGGTAGTCATGAGGAATGTATGGCCAATGATTGGAACCTCAGCATCCTGTGTCCCGTGCACAAAAAGGAGACAAGACGATATGTGCCAATTATAGAGGAATAAGTCTCCTTCCCATCGCATATCCAGTGTGCTGTGTGAACGACTTAAGCCAATGATCAATGACATTATTGAACCATAACAATGCGGCTTCAGATCTGGCAAATCCACCATTGACCAGATTTTCACTCTGCGCCAAATCCTGGAAAAAGCCACGAATAACACATCGACACATTCCACCACCTATTCGTCGACTATAAAGCCGCATTCGACAGCCCTATCCGTTCAGAGGTGTTTAAAGCCATGTCTACGTTTGGCATTGCTCAAAATTAATTTGACTATGCAGGATAACTTTAAGTGGCACAAGGTCAGCAGTTAATGTTGGAAAGGGCCTATCGGAGCCCTTCGATACCGAACGAGGATTCAGGCAAGATGACAGTTTGTCGTTTGATCTTTTTAACATCCTGCAGGAAAAGATCATACGAGACACAAAGGTGAACAGAAATGACACTCTGTACACCAAACAACACCAGTTACTCGCATACGCCGATGACATCGATATAATGGGTCGAAAATTGCGAGCGGTAACAGCCACCTTTGAACAAATCGAGAAGGTGTCTGCCAAAGTGGGTCTAGCAGTAAACGGCGAGAAGACCAAGATGATGGTATCAACGCGCAAGACGTCCAGTAGACTCGGACCAACTGTGGAACTTGAGAACTACAGCTTCGAGGTGGTAGTCAAAGATTTTATATACCTTGGTACCGTCATAAATAAAACTAATGACATCAGTTTTGAAATTCGGAGAAGGATTGTGATGGCCAACATATGCTACTATGGTCTAAGTAAGCAGTTTAGAAACAAGGCCATCTCCCGCCAGACCAAGCTCTCACTTTACAAGACGCTTATACTACCCGTGCTGTTATATGGATCTGAATCATGGGTACTTGCGCAAGCAGATGAGGCAGCTCTTGGGGTGTTTGAAAGAAAAATTCTCCGAAAGATCTACGGGTCGATCTGCATCGACGGTGAATATCGGCGTTGAATGAACCACGAGCTTTACAATTTATACGCCGACATCGATATAGTCAGTCGTATTGAGCTGCAGCGACTACGTTGTGCGAATGAATGCGAAAATGGATGGGGAAGGCCACGAATCAGATGGAAAGACCAAGTAGAAAACAACATCTTGGTGGAGATGCTCACAAGATCGACGGCCTTGGAAATCTTTTTTAAGCTCGGCTTATGGAACAACCGTCCTATAACAAGCCAGCTAAGAAAGTAAGTAAAGGATTTTTAAAAACATTTTTTGAAGAATACACAAGGCGTGGGTTTTTTTTAAAAAATATTTTTTAAAAAATCCATTTCTAAGTTTTATATTCTAATTTTTACTCTTATTCCCAGCTACCAAAATGATACTGACTTTGAAATCACGTATTCTTTTCATTTATTTATATTTTCAATTTTTATTGGCCAATTCTGGAAAGTAGTAGCACTTATTTTTATCACAAACTATTTGATCTCTTTAACAAGCTAGCCGAACAATTTTTATTCCGGTTATTTACTTCTGGATACTTCTAAAGGAATATATGGCTAAAATTAATTAAAAATAATTATCAAAACAAAAAAATTCTATTAATTTTCAAACATTACTGTTTATATGTTTGAACCTGTTTTACGGGAAGCAATTGCAGATCTTCCGAACAAACAAAAAATAAGTAGCACAAATGATGCAGTTTATTTACAAATTTTTTAATTTTGGGAATAATTTAAGAATTCGTTAAAACAAGTTTTTTGGCAAAAAAGTGCAATAAAACTGGACTGGATGCAGAATCCCGATTGAAATTAAAAAATAATAACAAAGATATATAAAAAGATTTGAATTTGAAATTAGCAGATAGTCTTGGATTTGCAGTTCAAGGGAAAAATACAAACATTTGAGGTAAGGATACGAAACTCAGGAACCATAATTTTTACAAAAGGATTAAATAAAATGTGTTATCCTTTTTTTCCAGTCCTCTCAAAATGAAATATTTCACTGTTGCCTTTCTAATTGCTGGCCTGATGGTGGCCACCATCTCCGCCCAGGAGAAATATACCACCAAATATGACAACATTAATGTCGATGAAATCCTTGCCTCCGATCGCCTTTTAAATAATTATTTCAATTGCTTAATGGAACGGGGTAGCTGTACTCCCGATGCCCAAGAGCTGAAGAGAGCCATCCCCGATGCCTTGAAAACCGAGTGCAGTAAATGCAGCGAAAAGCAAAAGAAAATTATCGATAAAGTTATCCATTTCCTGATTGAAAAGAAACCCGAACACTGGAAGGAATTGCAGGCTAAATATGATCCCGACAATATCTATTATAATAAATATAAGAATCATCTTTAAGTGCAAAACGTTGAAGAGCAGTAGAGAAATATGGAAGATGAGAAGGAGGAGGCTATTACATCGAAAAGTGTGAATGCAGAATAAATGAAGTAGTTGAATGGCTTGTTGAGTTTTGTAAAAATTTTTGTTTAATAAAAAAGTGTAAAGTGAAAAAAATATGTGTATTTTTTATAAAATCTTTATGGATGAGATATTTGGTGAAGACATCGTTTTTTTGCATTTAAATCAAAAAAAGGTTATAGTGGTCCATCTTGGCCCAAACTCGTTGTTCATTGGAAAAGGTGTAAAATTAGCCAATAATAATTTTTTGTCCCAAATTGCAACCCATATTTCTGTAATATCTACTTACCTCAGATGTTTCTTTTGTTCAGCGACCTATAGTGAAATTTTATGGAGAATATTTTTCTCATTGACATCAAACCCTTAAAATTTAGAACAGTGGGACATTTTGCCTAATTATGGAAGCAATTCAAATTAAACCAATAAATTAACCATATACATATCTATAGAAATTAAAATTGAAATTTTTACTATATATGATGCCTTTAGAGATCCAGTTTGTTCAGTGACCTATAGTAAAATTTGATAAAGAATATATTTTTCTTTAACACCTAACTCCTAAAATTTAGTACAGTGGGGAATTTTTACCAAATTTGAAAGGGGATGAAAAAATCGTTAAATGCTGAATGGCTTATATGCACATTTATATCAATATTTTTGCGTTATATATTTTATATACCGATTTCTGTTGTTCGGTGACCTATAGTGGAATTTGATGTAGAACATTTTTTTCATTGATACCATCCTTCTAAAATTAGGAACAATGGCCAATTTTGCAACAAATTGAAAACATATCAAAATTAACCCAAAATTCAACGATTTATCTATATATCCCAATTAATACCGATATTTATACGGTATATGTAATATATAGCGATTTCTTTTGTTCGGTGACCTATAGTGAAATTTGATAAGGAATATTTTTTCCAATAACACCTGCCACCTAAAATTAAGTACAGTGGGACATTTTGTACCATTTCTGAAAAGGATCAAAATTAACTCAATTTCCTTATGTACTTATATGTGAATATATATCGATATTTTTTGATATATATCATAGCTACCGATTTCTGTTGTTCGGTGACCTATAGTAGAATTTTATGGAGAACATTTTTCTCGTTGACATCTGCCTTCTTAAATTAAGTACAGTGGGATATTTTGTAAAAAATTGAAAAGAGATACAAAATAACACATAAATCAGTGATTTGGCCATATATCCGAAATAATACCGATATTTATACGATATATATTATATATAGCGATTTCTTTTGTTCGGTGACCTATAGTAAAATTTGATGAGGAACATTTTATCCATTAAGACCTGCCACCAAAAATTACATACAGTGGGTCATTTTATACCATTTCTGAAAATAACCAAAAGTAACTCAATCATTTTAATGTTTTTATGCATAGGTGAATAGATATCGATATTTTATTATATATTATATTATATACCGATTTCTGTTGTTCGGTGACCTATAGTAAAATTTGACGGAGAATCTTTTTGTCATTGATACCGTCATCCTAAAATCAAGAACAGTGGGATATTTTGCATCAAATTGTAAGAAAATGAAAAGAACCAAAAGTAACTCAATAATTTTAATGTTTTTATGCATGGGTGAATAGATATCGATATTTTGTGATATATATTATATATAGCAATTTCTGTTGTTCGGTGACCTATAGTGGAATTTGATGGAGAACATTTTTCTCATTGATAACATCCTTTTAAAATTAAGAACAGTGGGATATTTTGCTAGAAATTTAAAACAAAACCAAATTAACTCAAAAATCAAAGATTTGGTCATTTATCCGAATTAATACCGATATTTATACGATAAATATTATATATAGCGATTTCGTTTGTTCGGCAACCTATAGTGAAATTTGATGGAGAATATTTTCCTCATTGATACTTTACCGCTAAAATTATGTTTTGTGGGCTATTTTGACCCAAATTGAAGATTCCACTAAACTAATTATTATTATATTAAAATTTCAATTCTAACCGATATTTGACCTATATATGACATATATACCGATTTTTGTTGGTCGATGACTTATAGTGAAATTCGATGGAGAACATTTTCGTCATTGTCATCATCCCGCTAAAATAATGTTTTGTTGTTATTTTTGGACCAAATTAGAAACAAGCCAAATTCGACAAAGAAAATATTATATTTTCCCAAAAAATATTATAATATCCCAATTATACCGATATTTGACATATATACGGTGTATATACCGATTTCATCTGTTCGGCAACATATAGTCAAATTTGGTGGATAACATTTTCATCATTGGTACCATCCTGCTAAAATAATGTTTTGTTGGACATATTGGCTTAATTGGAAAAAAAATAGTAAATTCCCTAGGAAAATTTATTATTATGTTTATATTTAAATTTGAGTCGATATTAGACATATATTAGTTATATATATCGATTTTATCTGTTCGGCAACATATAGTGAAATTCGATGAAGAATATTTTCCTTATTGGCACCATATCGCTAAAAAATCGTTTTGAGGGAATTTTGGAATCGATTTCAAAGAAAGAGTAATTTTCCACTAAGAAAATTTCTTATTATATTCATATTCTATTTCGAACCGATATTTGACCTATATTTTATACATATACCGATTTTGTTTGTTTGGGAGCCTTTAGTGAAATTCGATGGAAAACATTTTCGTCATTGGTACCATCCTGTTAAAATAAAGTTTTGTGGACATTTTGGGCCAATTTGAGAAAAAGAGTAAAAATCCAATAAGAAAATTTAGTGTTATATTTATCCATAAATAAGAACCAATATTTGACCTTTATATGTCATATATTCCGATTTTATTTGTTCGGCAACCTATAGTGAAATTCGATGGAGAATATTTCCGCCATAGGCACTATCCCGCTAAAATTGTGTTTTGAGGGACTTTTGGTCCCAATTTAAAAAAAAAGAGTAAAATTCAACACAAAAAAATCTATATTTCAATTCAAATCGATATTTGACATATATTTCATATACATACCGTTTTTTGTTAGTCGATGACTTATAGTGAAATTCGACGGAGAACATTTTCGTCATTGGTATCATCCTGCTAAAATAAAGTTTTGTTGGAAATTTTGGGGCAATATGAGAAAAAGGTAACAAATCTAATAAGAAAATATAGTGTTATACTTATACTTAAATTAGAACCGATATTTGAACTTAATATGTCATATATTCCGATTTTATTTGTTCGGCAACCTATAGTGAAATTCGATGGAGAATATTTTCCTCATTGTTAGCATATCGCTAAAATAGCGCTTTGAGGGACTTTTGGTCCCATTTTCAAAAAAGAGTAAAATTCCACTACGAAAATTTCTTATTATATTTATATATTATTTCGAATCGATATTTTACCTATATATTGCATATATACCGATTTCGTTTGTTCGGTAACATACAGTGAAATTTGATGCTGAATATTTCTGTCATTGACAACATCCCGCTAAATTAACGTTTTCTGGGACTTTAAGGTCTAATTTGAAGGGTCTTCGATTTGTCAATGTTAAAATCGTGTATTTATGTGTAGTGTATACTACATTGTTTATATATATATATATATATATATATATATAATTAAAACAAATATATATGTATTTTTTGAATTTCTTTCTACATTTTATTATAAATTTTTTTTAATAACCAACAGGAGTTAATTTTTTGATACAATTAAAAAAAATACTTCTTCTACAATATTACAAATAATAACAATTGTGCATTGACTACTAAATTTAAAATTTCAATATTTTTACAATTTTTTGCAATCTCTCTAATATATAAAAAAGTAAAAATTAAGTATTCAGAACTAAGTTCCAAATATTCGTTGAGTTTCGAAAAATATGTTGTTGTTCATCATCAGCATCACATTGAGTATTTGACCGTTGGTTTTCTTTGGATTCGTTTTGCAGGCATTTAGATTTTAATACCACGTTTCTCGGCTTCACCCTTGTATTTGTTATAGTAGACATTTTCGGGATCGTATTTCTGTTGCAATGCCTTCCATTCTTCGGGTTTGTTATCGATAATGAAACGAATTACTTTTTCGGCAGCAGCCTTTTGTTTCTCGTTACATTTACTGCATTCGGTTTGCAGGGCATCGGGTAGGGTATTTTTCAATTCACGACCATCGGGAGTGCAGGTACCCGAATCCACTAAACATTTATAATAGTTATTGAAAAGGCGATCAGATTTTAGAATTTCATCCAAATCAATGTTATCGTATTTGGTGGTGTATTTATCCTGAGCCAAGGCCAAGGAGGCGAAGAGGGCAATTGTGAGGATGAAATATTTCATGGTGGATTTTTAAGAACTAGAAGGGGGGAAATTAAAAAAATAGTAACGAAATTCAGTATTTTATTTAAAAAATTGAGATTTATTTTTTATTGAAAATTAAATTATGACACTTAGAAGATTAGTTGTTCAAATTAAAATCAATATTGCGAATTTCTAATTTTTATGTTTTTTTCAATTGGATAATTTTTTGTATATTTTTTAACACAATATTTTTTTAATTTAATTTTTAATGTCCTTTTTTATTGAAAATTATTTATTATTAATTTTTCGTTCTCTCTCGATTAAAACTCACACGAAAAAAATTAACGCTTTTTAGTTAGTTTTGAAAATTTGTTGTAATGTTCAGCTGATTGCTGTAACCAAACGACTGGTTTCTAACTCGTAATGGCCAGGCATTTTATATGCAATTGACCCCGCCGGTTCAATTAGAATAGTGGCCATGTAGTTGTTGCAATGATCTTGGAGAACCATCAAAGCAACTTCCACCTATCCTCCAACCATCTACCCATACACCTGGCTGCCCTCCTATCGGTTCTATTGTTCTCAGGTATTCTCACCTGAGAACTATGCAGTTTAAGCTTAAGCTTTCATTGTTCTAAAAGCTTAAATTGTTGCAACTGCAGCCACAGCAGCTGATTTGTGCAGCACGTGCCTATGGCAGGTTGGCATTTAAATTAATTATTTTTATTGTTGTCGGGATTTTTAATTAATTTATGGAAAAATAGTTTTGATTTAATTAGAGAAAGTGGAGGATTTTGTTTTTTTTTTCAATTCGTATTGAGTCACTTAGAAATGTTAATTATTATCTAAATGATTTAATTTGAATAATAAAATATTAGATGATTGAAAGAAAAAAATCCGATTCATTAAAAATACTTTTTAAAAAATCCACGCCTTGTGGTTTCCTTAAAAAATATTTTTTAAAAAATCCACGCCTTGTGGTTTCCTTAAAAAATATTTTTTAAAAAATCCACGCCTTGTGGTTTCCTTAAAAAATATTTTTTAAAAAATCCACGCCTTGTGGTTTCCTTAAAAAATATTTTTTAAAAAATCCACGCCTTGTGGTTTCCTTAAAAAATATTTTTTAAAAAATCCACGCCTTGTGGTTCCACGCCTTGTGGTTTCCTTAAAAAATATTTTTTCTTACAAAAAAATCCACGCCTTGTGGTTTCCTTAAAAAATATTTTTTAAAAAATCCACGCCTTGTGGTTTCCTTAAAAAATATTTTTTAAAAAATCCACGCCTTGTGGTTTCCTTAAAAAATATTTTTTAAAAAATCCACGCCTTGTGGTTTCCTTAAAAAATATTTTTTAAAAAATCCACGCCTTGTGGTTTCCTTAAAAAATATTTTTTAAAAAATCCGCGCCTTGTGGTTTCCTACAAAAAAAAAATTTAAAAAATCCACGCCTTGTGGTTTCCTTAAAAAATATTTTTTTAAAAAATCCACGCCTTGAGGTTTCCTTAAAAATATTTTTTAAAAAATCCACGCCTTGTGGTTTCCTTAAAAAATATTTAAAAAACCAAGCCTTGTGGTTTCCTTAAAAAATATTTTTTTTAAAAAATCCACGACTTGTGGTTTCCTTAAAAAATATTTTTTAAAAAATCCACGCCTTGTGGTTTCCTTAAAAAATATTTTTTAAAAAATATTTTTTAAAAAATCCGCGCCTTATCATAATTTCAAAACATTTTTTTTAAAAAATCCACGTATTTTTATGGTGGCATAGGGGATGATAGATACCAAGCAACGGCTCTGATTGGCTTTAACATGGCGAAGTCCAGGCTTATCTTGGTCCCTCTTTCATCTCAATTGTGGACACTGACCTCCCCCGGGGTGTCGCCTAAAGTAGCTACTATCATCACCCGATGAAATAGTGAGCTAATATGTGCCGCGAGTTCTCCCGTAAAAACTATAAAAAAAATCCTGCTGGAAAAGGTCATACGAGACGCAGAGGTGAACAGAAATTACACTATGTACACCAAACAACACATGTTACTCGCCTACGCCGATGACATCGATATAATGGGTCGAACATTGCGAGCGGTAACAGCCACCTTTGAACAAATTGATAAGGAGTCTGCCAAAGTGGGTCTGGCAGTAAACGGCGAGAAGACCAAGTTGATGGTATCAACGCGCAAGACGTCCAGCGGACTCGGACCAACTGTGGAACTTGAGAACTTCAGCTTCAAGGTAGTCAAAGATTTTATATACCTTAATTCGGCTATGCTTTAACTTTACTACTTTAAAGATCCCCTTGCAAAAGTATTTAAAAATCCAAAGTCTGTTTGTTTTTTTTACATCCAACATTTTATTTTATAAATATAAATATAATATATAAAAACATTTTTAAATATCATAATACTTCTAAAACTTGAGACAGGGACATGTTTATACAAATTCAAGAAATTCAATAAAAAAACTCAATTCCTTACAAATTGAGTACTGTTTTTTTCCAAATGGTAATCACAATTTACAATTTAATACCACGCTTTTCAGCTTCATCCTTATATTTGTTATAGTAGACATGTTCCGGATCGTATTTCTCTTGCAGGGACTTCCATTCCTCGGGTTTATTTTCAATAATGTAACGAATAACTTTATCAGCATTGGCCTTTTGCTTCTCATTACATTTACTGCATTCCGTTTGCAAGGCATCGGGTAGTGTATTTTTCAATTCACGACCATCGGGGGTGCAGGTACCCTGATCAATCAAACATTTGTAATAGTTATTGAAGAGACGATCTGATTTTAGAATTTCATCGACGTCGATGTTATCATATTTTGTGGTATATTTGGTGTCATCATCAGCTGGCCTGGCAGCCACTATGCAGACGGAGGCAATCAATACGGCGATGATTAGGAATTTCATGGTGAGATTTAGTGCGCTGTAATTTATAAGAAAAGAGAATATATGAAAGTTGAAGAAATTAAAAATTGTACAAACGTAAATCTAAATCTAACCCGATTTACTCGAAACTTTACACACAAGCTATGGAACGGACAGATATCCATCTCAAAGACACGAAAATCTCCATGAACATGCAGAACAACAACATCAAGTGTAAATAAAAATAAAGAAATCGAAAGATATATGTAGGGACTTTATAGCCCCATTTACCTTAAATCGGACGAAAATATATATGGGTGCTATAAATCTGACCCGATTTTCTCGAAATTTGGCACATGTCATTCTAGGCATAATTCAGTATACTATGCAAAATTTCGTGCAAATCGAATGATATATTGGGGCTTTGGTGGACCATTTACATAAAATCGGACAAAACTATATATGGGAGCTATATCCAAATTTGAACCGATTTTCATGAAACTTATCACACATCATTCTAGACTCAATTCCGTACGCTATGCCAAATTTCGTCCAAATCGAAGAATGTATAGGGTCTTTGGTGCACCATTTACCTTAAAGCGGACGAACATATATATGGGAGCTATATATAAATATAAACCGATTTTCACGAAACTTAAGACACTTCATTATAATTATAATTCAGTGCGTTGTGCAAAATTTCGTGCAAATCGAAAGATAAATAGGGACTTTGGTGCACCATTTACCTTAAATCGCACGAAAATATATATGGGAGCTATATATAAATCTGAACCGATTTTCACGAAACTTAGCACACATCATTCTAGACATAATTCAGTATACTATGCAAAATTTCGTGCAAATCGAAGAATATATAGGGTCTTTGGTGCACAATTTACATAAAATCGGACGAAAATATATATGGGAGCTATATCCAAATCTAAACCGATTTTCACGGAACTTAGCACACATCATTCTAGACATAATTCAGTATACTATGCAAAATTTCGTGCAAATCAAATGATATATTGGGGCTTTGGTGGACCGTTTACATAAAATCGGACAAAACTATATATGGGAGCTATATCCAAATCTGAACCGATTTCCACGAAACTTAGCACACATCATTCTGGACCAAATTCAGCACTCTATGCCAAATTTCATGAAAATCCAAAGTTATATAGGGACTTGGGTGCACCATTCACATAAGATCGGATGAAAATATATACGGGAGCTATATCTAAATCTGAACCGATTTTCTTCAATTTCAGTATGATTCGTCACTGGGCCAAATATATGAGCTGTGCCAAATTTCATCCAAATCGGATCATAAATGCGACCTCTACTTTGTTTTAAGGAATCCACACCTTGTGGTTCCTTCAAAAAATATTTTTTTAAAAAATTCACGTATTGTGTTTGTAATGAAAACTACTTTTTAAAAAAATCTACGACGAAAATTTCACGGTTGATTGGTTTCTTCGAAAAATATTTTTTTAAGTATGTTTATTTCTTCAAATATTATTTAAAAAAAATTCAAGCCTTCACCAAATATTTTATTTTATTTATTTATATAAAATTTGTTTTTATATTTTTTTTGTTAATTTTGTGTTAAATTATGTTAAAAAAAATATTTTTATATATTTTCATTATATATTCAATAGTTTTTCATTTATTTTCAATTTTATTATACTAAATTTTTATTAATCACATTTAATCACTTCTATATTTTTTAGTTAATATTGAATATTTTTTATTATTTTTCTTTTAATAAAACTCACTTAAATCTTTAATCAGTTTATTTATCGTAAATCCAAAACCGACTAGTTTCTGTTTGGATGCTAGCCACCTATTTATATACAACAATTTATTGGCCATACAATTCAATTAAAATGTTGAGTACTTGCAGTACTCAATTTTCAATACCCCACCCCCCATCATCATCCACACTCATCAGCTGTTGTTCCCGCCGCCGCTGCACTTACTCATGCGAGAAATATTATTTTTAAAATTCTACGAAAAGCTTAGTTTGAGCTAAAGCTTTGCATGTTAATTACCGCCTTTTAATTTATTTTTTTTTCAAAAAATTTTCCGCCCAAAATGTCATAGCTACGGTACGGCATTTTAACGATTTTCGATTTCAATTTTTTATGTTGCTATTATAAACGTTATTTTGTTTTTATGAATTGATTTAAATGGCAACTTTAATCATTTTTAATTCCTTATTGAAGGTGGAGAAGTTTTTTTCTATTGCCATTAAACTAGTTGAAATAGGGTAAGTTGGAAATTTGAAAAAAAATTTAAATGTCAATTTAGAATAATGAAATTGAATTTTACATTTGATTTGAACTTTAAAAATATATATATATAATTTTAAATTAAAATTTCTTCAATTATTTTCTATTTCAATTGTTTTTATCAATATTAAAATCACTAATTAACAAAATATAATTGCTTCAAATTATTTTCTTAAAAAAAAATTAAAAACTGCCACTTCGAAGAAAAATCTCATCTTGAGGTTAATTAAAATTCAAAGCTTTAGCTCCATAAGAACAACAAACTAAAGAGCTTTCGTAGAATAGGAATATTTTGCTCACATGAGTGGCAAACTGCAGCTGAGGTGGGTCGGGACGTTAATAGAATGGATAATTGTGGCTCAGAGTAATGCAAGTACTCAATATTTTCCTTTTTTAATTACTGATGAGGGCTATGAATTGATCACCATCAATATGGCTATAAAAAGGTGGCTTAAACATGGCCATAAACTAGTCGTTTGTTAACAGCAAAGAATTGAACAATAATATATAGAATTTTTTGAATAGTGAGTTATATATAGAAAAAAATAAAAAAAAGTCCGAAAGTTATATTAAAAAAATAAAATACAAATAAATTTATTGGCTTATAAAAATGTGAAAAATTAAAAGAAAAAATTATAACCAATGTGTTAAAAAATAAACGGAAAAATAAATAATAACAAATAATAATATACATATACAAAAATATTTTAATTTAAAAACTAAAACATGTATTTAATAATACATAAAAAGTACCAAAATAAATTATTTTAAATATTCCAAATTAAAATTATCAAAAAATCTACAATCAAAAATTCTACATTATTTTCGAACTACTTTTGAGGTTATGTTGTCGGCGTTAGGCAAAAGAGCTACTGTGGCAAAAACATTCATTAAATGATTCTCTATTATTCTTGCCTTAAGTTCAAACCTCTAAAATGCAATAGGAGAAAGTTACTTCACTTAAAATTTCAAAAAAAAAAAATGTTTGCATTTTTCATTTTTGAGGTTAAGATTACAAGGTTAGGGATGAGAGCTAGGTACTTGAGTTCTATGGAAAAAATGTTCCTAAAATACTTATCAATTATTCTCTCTTCAGCATCGAGCCGAACATATAAGGTTATATATCTCTAAAATGCCATGGAAGAAAGTAATTACCTCACTTAAAATTCCAAGCAGTCTTTCCATTCTTTTATTTTGCTATAAAGTTTTCAAGGTTAAGGATGAAAGCTACGGGCTTCAAAATTCCAAAAATATTCCTAAAATACGTATCTATTATTCCCTCTTCAACATCGAACTTAAAATAGAACTTTTTATACCTACAAAATGTCTCAGAAGAAAGTTACTTACTTCACTTAAAATTTCAAAAAGTTTTTGCATTTATTATTTTTGATGTTAAGATTTCGAGGTTAGGGATGAGAGCTAGGGACTTGAGTTATGTGGCAAAAATGTTCCTAAAATACTTGTCTATTATTCTCTCTTCAACATCGAACCTAAAATATGAGGCTATATACCTCTAAAATTATGTTCAAGACTTCACAAAAAATAATAAAAATGTTCATACATTTTTTTATTTTTGAGGTTAGGGTTTCGAGGTTAGGAAATGGAGGTAGCCGTTGGATTACTTTGGCAAAAATATTCCTTAAATGTTTCTCTATTATTCTTGCCTTAACTTCAAACATAAAATATAATGTTATATACCTCTAAGATGCCATAGAAGAAAGTTACTTACTAAACTTAAAATTTTAAAAACATGTTTGCATTTTTCATTTTTGATGTTAAGTTTTCGAGGTTAGACATCGGAGCTAGGTGCTTGAGTTCTATGGCAAAAATGTTCCTAAAATGCCTTTCTATTATTCTTTCTTTAGCATCGAACCTAAAATAAAAGGTTATGTACCTCAAAATTCCAATAGAAGAAACTTCACATACTTCACTATGAATTTAAAAACATTTTCGCATTTTTTACTTTTTCCTATAAAATTTTGGAGGTTAAGGATGAAAACTAGGGGCTTGAGTTCTGTGGCAGAAGTGTTCATAAAATGCCTTTCTATTATTCTTTCTTCAGCATCGAACCTAAAATAAAAGGTTATATACCTCCAAAATGTTTCAGAAGAAAGTTACTTACTTCACTTTAAATTGCAAACAGTTTTTGCATTTTTTATGTTTGATGTTCAGTTTTCGAGGTTAGGGAAGAGAGCTATGGGTTTGAGTTCTGTGGCATAAATGTTCCAAAAATGCTTATCTATTATTTTCTCGTCCACATCGAACCTGAAATAAAAGGCTATTCACCTTCTCAGGAGAAAGTTACTTACTTCACTTTAAGCTCCAAACCGTTTTTGCATTTTTTATTTTTGTTATTAAGTTTTCGAGGTTAAGGATGAGAGCTAGGGGCTTGAGTTCGGTGAAAAAAATATTCCTAAAATGCTTATCTAAACCTGAATAGAAAGTTATATACCTACAAAACGCCAAAACGAAAGTTACTTTCCTCACTTTTTTAAATTGCATATAGTTTTCGCATTTTTTATTTTTGATGTTCAGTTTTCGAGGTTAGGGATGAGTGCCAGGAGCTTGACTTTTGTGGCAAAAATGTTCCTAAAGTACTTATCTATTATTCTCTCCTTAACATCAGACCTAAAATATAGAGGTATATATATCTAAAATGTCATCAAACATAGTTACTTACTTCCCTTTAAAATTCAATATTTTCCTGCATTATTTATTTTTGAGGTTATGTTTTCAAGGTTAGTGAAAAGGGCTACGTGCTTGACTTCTTTGGCAAAAATGTTCACGAAATGCTACTCTATAATTCTCTCTTTAACTTGGAAATTGAAATCCCCGATCCAATAAGTGAAAAATCCAATTAAAGGAATATAGATACAATTTGCATATTTTCTGTGTGATAGATTTTATGGGTTAGGGAAGCATGCTAGGGATTTGAGTTCGTTGGGAAAATTGTTCCCAAAATACGTATCTATTATGTCTATTTAACTTCCATCATGAAATCGTAGATCATATAGATCAAATATATATTTAAAATACAGTTAAAGTTATGAACTTCTTGTTTTCAAAATTATGAACACTCAAGAAATTGAAGATTGTGTTGTAATATATTTGTTTTTGCAAAATAGTCAGGCTGAATCCCAGTTTGTTGTTTTTATAAAAAACAACTATTTATTAGTGGGGAATGTATGGCATTGTTTGCCGAGGGGTAAGGCAGGGAAGACTATAGTTTCGGATCACGCCACTGATCCTCATCAGTTCCCTTGCCTGACTATTTTGCAAAAACAAAATACTGATGGTATCCCAAATAAACCGCCAACACTACTGTAATATATTTTAATTTGACGAACTTTGTTATGCTCTCAGAATTAGGTGCAATTCTACATTATTTTCTTTCCTCTTTTATGAAATAGGATCATGCTCCTTTTCTTTCATGTTCCTTTCTCCTCCTATTTTATTATTTCAATTAAAATTCTTTGTTATGTCAACAACATGTTTTGTTATTTTAATTACACAGATTGTTAGAGCTCGAAATATTAACTTAAATTCCCCTAAATAATAATAAATTAACAACTACAATTAAAATCTCCTTAATTAATGAAATAATTTTCAACCTAATTACAGACCAATTGTATCTCCAAACTTACAAACCATGAAATTCCTAATCATTGCCGTACTAATTGCCTCGGTCTACATGGTGGCTGCCAGACCAGCTGATGAAGAAACGAAATATACTACGAAATATGACAACATTGATGTCGATGAAATTTTGAAATCGGATCGTCTCTTCAATAACTATTACAAATGTTTGATTGATCAGGGCACCTGTACTCCCGATGGTCGTGAATTGAAGAATACCCTACCCGATGCCCTGCAAACGGAATGCAGTAAATGTAATGAGAAACAGAAGGCCAATGCTGATAAAGTTATTCGTTACATTATTGAAAATAAACCAGAGGAATGGAAATCGTTGCAAGAGAAATACGACCCGGAACATGTCTACTACAACAAATATAAGGATGAAGCAGAAAAGCGTGGTATTAAATTGTAAAGGGGAATTTTTATTTTGAAATACTCAAATGAAATGGAGTGACGAAACTGATGGTTCCTGTCTCTATGTGTATATGTATTACAATAATTGATTTTCATTTGATATATGATGATTATTGTTATTTGTTTGTTTTTTTATATCAGTTGGCTGTAATAAAATATTAATATTTTTATAATATAACAAGTAAAAATCGGTGTTTAAATAAATAGTAGTGGATCGATGCGTTTCATCTTCAGAGTTGATTTGAGTGTGAAAAAAATATTACGATGTGCACAATTTATATCAAATCGGACAGTCCATTCGACATACATTGGCCTTTTACATATTGAAAATGTTGACACTTTGTGGGGGAGATACCAGAAGGAGTGGACCAATATTTCCCCTCTTCTACTTGGATTTGAGTTTGAAACAAATATTACGATGTGCAAATTTTGTATGATAGATTTACTTCCTTCGAGAGTTAAACGGCATATACATTAGAACTTTTTATTGGGTTAACCTACTTTATGAGGATTTATTTGACATATATTCAAAGGAATTGACAATTGAAACCCACTGGGTTAACGAAATCCGGTTAAATGTAAACGTACTGTTATTTCATTTCTAAATCCCCGCCAATTTGTCTAAAACGGATTTGGTTCAATGAAATATGCAGTCCAAACCCCCATATTTCGATAAGGTACATTTTTGCCTTAGAATAATGGGTATATACTCTGTCATATGCCATAATGCTGATGATATAAAGAACGGGTTTGTAGGACCTAGTTCAGTCGCTCCTATCAGTGAAACGTTGATTTGAACTAGTTCGTTCGTGAACTGGTGAACTGTACAACTCTCTGTCTCTCTCATTAGTTCATTGACATTTCCCCATTGCAACAGGTTGCAACTTGCAAAATAGATTTTGTCGACGGTTTCGCGAGTCGTGTTTTCGGTCGGGAGTTTCGGTAAATTCGGTTTAAAGAAATGTTAATTGTAAAGTGTAATTAAATTAATTAATAGTTTATAAACCAGTGAATTTGATTGTTTTTGTAAAAGTTATAAAAAAAAGTTTTGCATTAACTACAAATTGCCCATCTGTTTTTGTGGTTCTTTATTTGTTGTTGTTGTGCCATGATTTTCTTTCTGCCGAAGTTTGTGTGTGCATTCATTCATGTAGTCCCTTAAGGGCCAACAAATTTGTTGTTATTCTTTGGGTAAAGTGAAAAAAGTAATTTTCAAAACAATATTTCAATATGAAAATGAAATTGAAATAAGTTTGGTGGCAAAATTGTGCTGTTGTTCTTTTATTTTGATTTAAATGATCATGTCGATGTGTGTGTGTGTGTGTGTGCATCTTGTGTTTTCGTTTTACGTTTACACTCTCGCCGTCGTCTCAGCCACAGTCGCAGTCGCTGCCGTCATCGTTCGATCTCTACTATAAATGACATTTTTCTCTCGTTGTTTTCGCCAAATTTTAAAAAAAAAACCTTGAGAGGTTTGAAATGAGATTTCAAAGGTAAGTGCAATTTAATCAACGTTTTTCTCAGGGAGGGGTGCTCGAATTCTCAATTCTCAAAATAATCAATTGTGTGAAGGACATTAACCGCGAAGGTCTATAGACCTTCGAAAACACATTACAAAAAAATTTAGACTCTAAAAAATATTAAAAAAAAAAAATTCCAAGACCCTCCAAAATCTATACTAATAAAAGAGTAACGGCTGAAGCTACAATCTTGAAATTTTAGGTGAGGGTCAATCTTGGTCCAAAGTTGTCAGATAGGGCTGGGTTTTTGGAAATTCGAACTAGAACGGTACAAAAAGTACTAAAAAACACTTAATATGATACCATTTGTGTTTGGCAATCCGGTAGAGCTAGAACTCTCAAATTTTAAATGAGTTTCACTGATAGAGTGTAGAATAGATATAGTAAAAGGTTTCTTGGACATTCGAAGTACAAGTATGTGAAAAGTACTAAAATGTACTAAATTTGGTACAATTTCGTAGCATGTGAATGGATAGAGCTAGAAACTTGAAATTTTGAAAGCGAATAATGGTTGAGATGAAGGCTATATTTATGGAGATGGTTTTCAAAGCGTTTACTCATGTTTGCGGAAAGTACTATGCGGTACTATATTTGGTACAAATTTAATTTGAAGATAAAAATCGAGCTGGAATCCTGAAATTTAAAATTAACATTACCGTCGAATTGGGAGATGTACGTATTTTTGGAAATTTGTTACTTATGTGTACCAAAAATTACTAAACAGTACAATAATTGGTACAATTTGGATTTGGGTGAACCGAAAGAGTGGGAACAATGAAATTTGGAGTTAGGATCATTGATGGGGTGTATGATTGTTGTATTCGTACTAATGTGTACCATATGGTAGCAATTTTGGATTTTGATGAACCGATAGAACTGGAATCTTGACATTTGGAGTTATAATCATTGTTGGTGGTGTTGAAATGAGCTATTTAGGAAGTTTTCGAAATTCCTATTAATGTGAACTAAATTTGGTTCAATTTAAATTTTAAGTGAACCGATGTAGGAAGTTTTGGAAATTTGTACAAAATGGTACCAAATGTGGATTTGGGGAACCAAATATTGAAATTAGGAAATAAGGTTACTTTGGATTGGGGTGTCGAAGTAATTTTGGAAATTCATACCCGTGGGTAATAAATTGTACTAAATTTGGTACAATTTGAATTTTGGATGAACTAATAGAGCTGGGATCATGAAATTTGAAATCAGGATCATTGTTGGGATGTAGGATTGGGGTATATAGGAAGTTTTGCAAAATCCTACTAATGTGTACTAAATGCTACCAAATTTGGATATGGGTGTACCGATAGAACTGAAATCTTAAAATTTGATTATAGCATCACTGTTGGGTTGTAGAATTGGGCTTTGTCGAAAGTTTTGGAAATTCGTTCTAATGTTTGCCAAAATTTGGTACAATTAAAATTTTGGCTGAACCAATACAGCTGGATTCCTGAAATTAGTAGTTAGTGTTACTGTTGCGGTGTAGGATTGTGATATGTAGAAAATTTTGAAAACGAGTACTAATGTGTACAAAATGGTACCAAATGTGGATTTGGTGAACCGATAGAGCTGGAGCACTGAAATTTGGGAATAAGGTTACTGTTGGAGTGTAGGATTGGTGCGTCGGAGTAGTTTTGAAAATTCATACCCGTGGGTACTAAATTGTACTAAGTTTGGTACAATTTGAATTTTTGGGTGAACTGATAGAGCTGGGATCCTGAAATTTGGAGTTAAGATCATTGCTGTTTTGTAGGATTGGGGTATGTAGGTTTAAGTTTTGGAAATTCTTACTAACGTGTACTAAATGGTACCAAATGATGGTTAGGATCACTGTTGGGGTGTTGGATTGGGGAATGCATAAAGTTTTGGAAATGTCTACTAATGTGTACTAAATTGTATACAAATTAGGGTTTGGGTGAACCGATAGAATCCTGAAATTTTGAATTAAGATTGGGGTATGTGTGTGAAGTGTTGGAAATTCGTACTTATGATTGTTAAAGTAGGTAGTTATGGAAATTTATATTAATGTGTACTAACTCGTACTTAATTTGGATTTGGGATAACCTATATTTGATTTTTTAATAAGTATTACAAGAGTACAAAGGGTAAAAAATTATACAAAATTCAGTATAGAGAAAGACTTCTGTTTGCGGTCAGAATTGGTGTGTAGGATTGAGATATAGAGGTAGATTAGAAAAACATACTATCAGAGAACATAAGTTAGTACCAATGGTTCTAAAATGTTAAGAATGGTCGGAATTGGGTTTTAAATACTTCCCACATTCGCTAAAGCAGTAGCGGGTATATGCTAGTGTTTAATAAAATGCACGCCTTCTATAGTCCTTCAAAATATATTAAAAAAATCTACACCACAACAACATTTAAAGAAATCTACGTCTTAAAAAATCTTCGCCTTAAAAATTTTTTAAAAGAATCTACGCCTCAAAAAATATTTCAACTGATTAATAATATCGAATTTTACAAGGTCGAACTGTACTTTTTTGGATCTAACTAAATATGACTCAAATCTGTATAGTTTTTTTCGAACAAGTAAATTACAAATTCAAAATAGAAAAAACAACAAATTAATTTGATAATAAATATTTTGAAATAGTTCCATCAATTGACCATGAAAACTGAGAAACAGTTATAAATTCTATTAAAATGCAAAGCCTGAACTCAGAAGTGCAATTAACTGCGTTGTGGGTGTGCTGGAGCTAGATGTACATATGATACAGAGGCCTGCAATTGTTCAATATTGGCAATAATAAGAAAGAAAAAAAAAAAATAAAACTTGGCCAAATAGTATAAATAGTTGGGTCTAGAATCTTGGCAAAACTTAGTCACAAATTGAACAGTTATTGGTTGGCAAGGTGCGTGAGTTTTCAATCAGAATAAAATTTGAGAATTTTTGTAAATAATATTTTTTTTAAATTCAGTGAAAAAAATGAAACTTTTACTCCTTGTGGTTGCGTTGAGCTCCCTCACCCTGGCCCGTCCGGAAGAGGAAAAATATACCACCAAATATGATAATGTGGATATTGATGAGATTCTGAAATCAGATCGCCTCTTCAATCATTATTACAAATGTTTGATTGATAAGGGTTCGTGCACCCCAGATGGCCGTGAGCTGAAGAGAATCCTACCGGATGCCTTACGTACGGAATGCCGTAAATGTAATGACAAACAGCGAGCCAATGCCGATAAGGTGATACGTTTTATTATCGACAAGAAACCGGAGGAGTGGAAGGCGCTGCAGGCTAAATATGATCCGCAAAGGGTCTACTACAACAAATATAAGGATGAGGCCTTGAAGCGTGGCATAAAATTGTAAATGAGGATATAAACTTATATTTTAAAAATCATTAAGTGTTAGATAGATCAGTAATTATGTTTCGAACATGTGTGAAATAAAGTGCTACAATCAGAGGCCTTCAATTTTTTTTATTTTTTGTGGGTCAAAACGTTTTTAAGGACCTTTCATAGTTTAGGCTTATTATTTAAACCAATTTTTCGAGGTCCTTTATAGAAGTATTTTCAGAAAAAAGAAGAAAAACGAAAGCGTGAGCAAATCGAGATGTACAGGAGTCAAAATGAAGTCCGAAAATTCTACCAACGGGTAAAACACCAAACCGAAGGCTTTGATGCAGGCACATCCTCCTGTAGAGATAAAGAAGGAAACCTGGTGACAGATACAGACAGCGTGGTGAGGATCTGGAAGGAGCATTTTGAAAAACTTCTGGTATCAAATAGTAGCAGTGAAGTGGATACCCCAGAACCAATAATAGATGACGGTATAGAGTGTATACCACATAGCCAAAATGAAGTCAGAATAGCAATCAATCGGCTGAAGAATAATAAAGCAGCGGCTGCCGATGGGTTATAAGCCGAAATATTCAAGGCTGGTGGTCAGATGCTGGTAAGGAGCATGCACCAGCTGATTAGTCCAATTTGGCTAGAGGAATGCATGCCCAATGATTGGAACTTCAGCAAGAAAGGAGAAAAGACTATATATGCCAATTGTAAAGGAATAAGTCTCCTTCCATCGCATATAAAGTGCTATCCAGCGTACTGTGTGAACGATTGAAACAAATGGTCAATGACATTATTGGACCATACTAATGTGGCTTCAGATCTGGCAAATCCTGGCCATTGACCAGATTTTCACTCTGCTTCAAATCCTGAAAAAAACCCCACGAAATACACATCGACACATTCCACCTATTCGTCGACTATAAAGCCGCATTTGACAGCCCTATCCGTTCAGAGGTGTATAAAGCCATGACTGCGTTTGGCATTCCTGCAAAATTAATACGGCTATGCAGGATAACTTTAAGTGGCACAAGATCAGCAGTTAAAGTCGGAAAGGACCTCTCGGAGCCCTTTAATACCAAACGAGGATTCAGACAAGGTGATAGTTTGTCATGTGACCTTTTTAACATCCTGCTGGAGACGCAAAAGTGAACTGAAATGGCACTCTGTACACCAAACAACACATGTTACTCGCCTACGCCGATGGCATCGATATAATGGGTCGAACATTGCGAGCGGTAACAGCACCTTTGAACAAATTGGGAAGGAGTCTGCCAACGTGGGTCTGGCAGTAAACTGCGAGAAGAACAAGCTGATGGTATCAAGCCGCAAGACGTCCAGTGGACTCGAACCAACTGTGGAACTTGAGAACTACAGCTTCGAGGTAGTTAAAGACTTTATATACATATATACATCAGTTTTGAAATTCGGAGGAGGATAGTGATGGCCAACCTATGCTACTATGGTCTGAGCAAACAACTCAAAAGCAAGGCCACCTCCCGCCAGACCAAACTCACACTCTACAAGACGCTGAAACTGCCCGTGCTGTTATACGAATCTGAAGCATGGGTACCTCCGCATGCAGATGAGACAGCTCTTGGAGTGTTTGAGAGAAAAATTCTCCGAAAGATCTATGGGCCGATCTGCGTTGACGGTGAATATCGCCGTCGAATGAACCATAAGTTGTACCAGCTATTCTCGGACATCGACATTGTTAGACGTATTGAGCTGCTGCGACTACGTTGGCTAGGTCATGTTGTGAGAAGGGATGAAGATGCCCCAGCCCAAATGGCATATAAAATCGAACCAGCTGATGGTTCACGCAGAATGGGAAGGCCAAAAATACGTTGGAAAGATCAAGTCGAAGACAACATCGCCGAAAATGGTCTTTCAAATTGGAAAAACTGCGCAAAAGACCGACGCGCCTGGAAATCTTTTCAAAGCTCGGCTTATGGAACATAAGTTCTGTCACAAGCCAGCTAAGTAAGTAATGTTGGTGGCTTCAAAAAATATTCCACTAAAATATATGAAAAACCAAAAATTTGAATTTTTTGATCGCAATATTTAATTTATTTTTGTATAGTTATCGAATAATAAAAAAAACAACAAATGTCAATATCAACAACAATTTTGGAAATCATAAACTTCCAAAAAAATATACGTATGTATATCGTGGGTCTTAGACTTTAATGCCACGCTTTTCAGCTTCATCCTTATATTTCTGATAGTAGACACCCTGTGGATCGTATTTAGCTTGTAGATTATTCCAGGCCTCACGTTTATTCTCGATTAGATAGCGGGCCACTTTCTCAGCTCCTTTTCTTTGTTTCTCGCTACATTTGCTGCATTCCGTTTGCAGGGCATCGGGTAAAATCCTCTTCAATTCACGAGCCTCGGGGGTACAATTTCCCTGATCCATTAGACAGTTGTAGTAGTTGTTGAATAGGCGATCCGATTTGAGAATTTCATCCAAATTGATGTTGTCATATTTGGTGGTATATTTATCCTGGGGCATGGCCAGGCAGCAGGCGACGAAGAGAGCCAGGGCAATGATTACACATTTCATTGTGGAGGATTTGCTTTCAGTTGGGCTGTTAAGAGACAATAATGGAAGGATTATAGAACAAATTTTGAAAATTTGTTTGAAATTTTCACAAAACTCACACTTTGAAATTGAACACTTCCGAACACCTTTTTCAAATGCTTCGAATTAGAAGACTACTTTCTCAATTGCTTCCCACTTCAGCTTTTATATATTTTTTCGGTCAATGGGCCAACCAAACACCACCGTTTAGTTGAGTCAATAGCCGAAATTTGTTTTTTTTTTTTTGCTAACTGCAAAAATAAACAAAACGTCTAAGTACCCTACCTCCCACCCGCTCCTCCAAATTCAATATTTACCCTTTTGATGGTAGTTTCGCACAATGCCGTTCACTGTTAATGTCACTGAAGCAGTTAATTACGACCATCATCACCGATTCCCGTCAATTGCGTCAATTGTTGTAAATCAAAGCAAAAAAATTAATCCGAAAATAAACAAATTTTGGGTAGTTATTAATTACGCTAAATGCTTTTAACCTCCAGAATGGGATTTTTTTTTATTATTTTCTTGGTATTTTGAAAAAATGCCTAAAATTGTACTAATTGAGCCATTAATTAGGAAATTAGAACAATAACATTTAAAGTGACAATATATTTGGAAGGTAAATTTCGTATTGAAATCTACAAATGACGTGGGTAATTTTTGTTTAATATTACGTGAGACCTTCAAAAATAATTTTAAAAAATCCACGCCTTCTATAGACCTTCAACAATATTTTTAAAAAATCCACGGCTATAACTTACTTACTTAGCTGGCTTGTGACAGAACTTTCGTTCCATAAGTCGAGCTTAGAAAAGGTTTCCAGGCGCGTCGGTCTTTTGTGCAGTTTTTCCAATTTGAAAGACCATTTTCGGCGATGTTATCTTCGACTTGATCTTTCCAACGTATTCTTGGCCTTCCCCTTCTGCGTGAACCATCAGCTGGTTCGCTTTTATATGCCTTCTGGGGGCTGGGGCATCTTCATCCATTCTCACAACATGACCTAGCCAACGTAGACGCTGCAGCTCAATACGTCTAACAATGTCGATGTCCGAGAATAGCTGGTACGACGCATGGTTCATTCGACGGCGATATTCACCGTCAACGCAGATCGGCCCGTAGATCTTTCGGAGAATTTTTCTCTCAAACACTTCAAGAGCTGTCTCATCTGCTTGCGAAAGTACCCATGCTTCAGATCCATAGTGTCCATAGGTCTGAGTAAGCAACTCATAAGTGGCCTTGCTTATGAGTTGCTTACTCAGACCATAGTAGCATCAGTTGGCCATCACAATCCTTATCCGAATTTCAAAACTGATGTCATTCGTTTATTTATGGCGGTACCAAGGTACATAAAATTTTTGACTACCTCGAAGTTTTAGTTCTCAAGTTCCACAGTTGGTGCGAGTCTACTGGACGTCTTGCGCATTGATACCAACAGCTTGGCCTTCTCGCCGTTTACTGCCAGACCCACTTTGGCAGACTCCATCTCAATTTTTTCAAAAGTGGCTGTTACCGATCTCAATGTTCGACCCATAATGTCGATGTCATCGGCGTAGGCGAATAGCTGGTGTTGTTTGGTGAACAGAGTTCCGTTTCTGTTCACCTTTGCCTCTCGTATGACCTTCTCCAGCCGGATGTTAAAAAGGTCACACGACAAACTATCACCTTGTCTGAATCTTCGTTCGGTATCGAAGGGCTCCGAGAGGTCCTTTCCGACTTTAACTGCTGATCATGTGCCACTCAAAGTTATCCGGCATAGCCATATTAATTTTGCAGGAATGCCGAACGTAGACATGACTTTAAACACCTCTGAACGGAAATGACTGTCGAATGCGGCTTTATAGTCGACGAATAGGTGGATTGTGTCGATGTGTTTTTCGTGGGTTTTTTTCCAGGATTTGGCGCAGAGTGAAAATCTGGTCAATGGTGGATTTCCAACGTCTGAAGCCGCATTGGTATGGTCCAATAATGTCGTTGACCAATGGTTTCAGTTGTTCACACAGCACGCTGGATAGCACTTTATATGCGATGGGAAGGAGACTTATTCCTCTATAATTGGTACACATCGTTTTGTCTCTTTTTTATGCACGGAACATAGGATGTTGAGGTTCCAATCATTGGGCATGCTTTCTTCAAGCCAAATTGTACTAATCAGCTGGTACATGCTCCTTACCAGCATCTCACCACAACTCTTGGTTAGTTCGGCTTGTTAACCATCGGTACCTGCTGCTTTATTATTGTTCAGCCGATTGATTGCTATTCTGACCTCATCTTGGCTAGGTTTTATACACTCTATACCCTCATCTATTATTGGTTCTGGGGTATCCTCTTCACTGCTATTTGATGCCAGAAGTTTGTCAGAATGCTCCTTCCAGATCCTCAGCACGCTGTCTGTATCTGTCACCAGGGTTCCTTCTTCATCTCTAGGATGTGCCTGCACCAAAGCCTTCGGTTTGGTGTTTTACTCGTTGGTAAAATTTTCGGACTTCATTCTGACTCCTGTACATTTCGATTTGCCCACGCTCACGTTATTCTTGTTCTTTTTTCTGAAAACACGTTTCTCCTCTCTCTCCATTTCTCCCGATAATTCTCCATCACATTACATGTTGCTACTGTCTGCAGGGTTGCCCTATACTCATGATCGTATCATGGATTTCTTGATGGTGGTTTTTGGTACCCAAGTGTTGCTTTTGCTGCAGTTTTTAGGAAGTGGGCAATTCTTTGCCATTGTGCTTCTATACTATTATCGGGACAAGAAGTGCTTTCATCAAGCAGGCCTCTGCTACCTGTTGTGTTTGCAGCTTTTCGACGTCGAGTTTCCGTTTTACATTAGATCGCACTTTGGTGCAACATTAAGACGAGAGCGAACCTTGGCTGCCACAAGGTAATGGTCCGAATCGATATTCGCTCCTCGCATCGATCGAACGTCTAAAACACTGTATGAATGCCTTCCGTCTATCACAACATGGTAAATTTGATTTCTCGTTGCTTGATCAGGAGAAATCCAGGTGGTCTTGTGTATATTGAGATGCTTAATCTGGTGCTGCTAACTACAATTTTTTTTTGCTGCCGCCAAGTCAAACAACCTCATCCCGTTGTCGGATGTTTCTTCATGGAGGCTAACTTTTCCGACAGTGGGACCTAAAATATTTTCGATTTTTGCATTAAAATCATTTCTGAGCAGAATTTTAATGTCAGGCCAGGGCAATGGCCACATGCTGTTTCTAGGCGCTCGTAAAATATATCTTTGGTCTGTTCATCTTTGCCTTCCCTCGGAGCATGGGCGCAAAAAATACTGATGTAGAAGAACTTGGCTTTTATACGGATTATAACAATTCGCCAATCGATTGGAGTGAATCTGGAGACGAGGTCTTTTATTCTCCTGTTGACCATAAATCCGCAGCCAAATTCACGCCTCGTAGCTATAATACAGGGCGTAATCATCTGATTTACTTCCGGCCAGTCCCTTTCCATCGCATTTCCTGTAAGGCAATAATATCGGATTTGTACTTCTTGCTGCGCCTGTTCTGTACAACGTGCGCACATTCCAAGTGCAGATTCGCGATCGTGGTTCTTTAAACGTTTGCGGGTGTCGTCAACATTGGGGGTTTGGTTTTCTTTTTCGTAGCTTTTTCATAGTAAGAGGGGTTTTTCGATTGTGGGCAACTAACCCGACGCCTCAACCCATTTTTTTATAGTTCTTATGGGTGAATTCGCGGCACATATCAGCTCACTATTTCAATGCATGATGAAAATAGTTACCCCAGGTTACACCGCGGGGAGGTCAGTGTCCACAATTGAGATGAAGGAGGTGCCAAGATAAGCCTGGGCTTCGCCGCGTTAAAGCCAATCAGAGCCGTTGCTTGGTATCTATCATCCCCTTCGTCATCCCCACGCCTTTTATAGGGTATTGAAAAAATATTTTCAAAAAAATCCACGTCTATGTTAGGGTATGGAAATAAAATGTTAAAATATCCACGCCTAATTTAATCTTAGATCGGGCATTTCAGACTATGCTTGAATGCCTTTAGACCACTTGTAAATTCATTTCAATTGGCCAATTAATATTTAAATAAAAATCGTCTGCAGTTACTCTAAATCTTCTCAGTAACTCTATCTGATCTTCATTGATATCTATTAAACTTCAAAACGTCTTATTTTAAATTTAAAATTATTTTTGTTTTGTTTTCAATTTTTTTGCCATCTTTTAATAATATGCATATCCATCCATCCGTCCATCCATCGAAGCATCTATCGATCCGCAGCTAATCATGTTTATTTGTCATTGATTTGTCAATGACATTTGCAGGTTTTAAGTTTTTTGGAACTAAGACAAAACACTAACAATAACAACAACATCGCAAACGACAAATAATCAATTTATGTATGCCCTGAACTGTGGCACTCCAGCGGAACTTTACTACTTGCAAATTTGTTTTTCATTTTTTTTTCTTTTTTCAAATTTATAATTTTTACGATGATAAATGAATTGAATGATGATGGTGGGTTTGATTTTGGATTTCTGCAGTAGTTCAATCCAATCCAAGCATTTAATAATCGTTAAATTTATTATTTTTACTTGACAGCGTTTTGATATATAAACTGTTTGCCAATATTGGCTAACATTAGTTAACTAGCTTCAGTCATTCCAAGAAGTTTGGTGTGCGATTTTTTTTTCAAATAATTGTGAGTGTTTTTTAAAAAATAAAAATTTTTATAAAATAAGTTGTAAAAAAGATTGAAATAAAATACAAAAAAGAATATCAAAAAAATTAAATTAACTTAAAGCAAAGGACCTGCCTAAAATGTGGCCCTAATAAGAAATTGCAGACAATTCAATGTGTCAAATTACCCCAACGTGTCAAATTACCCCAAATACCCCCAATGGAGGGTAACGTTACATAGGGGCTACCACCAACGCTTGGCCAATATTTATAATGTTTAATACGGAGATTTTCTATCCAAAGTTAAACCAAAATTACCAAATTAGAGCTAATTCGGTTGATATTTACTGGCAAGCTCTTCAAAATCCGACATATGGAGGGTACCTTTATATGGAGGATACCCTGAAAAATTTTACCGATATTTATAATTTTTGGTAGGAAGATGTGATGCCTTATGAGAACTCAAAATATCGAATTATGTCCAATTCGGTGGAAGAAATTTACTCAATCTTCTCAAAATATCGAATTTTGAAGGCTACTTCTATATGGCGACTACCCCAAAAAGTGAACCGATATTGATAAGTTTTTCGTAGGAAGATTTGCTACACTGTGAGAACTCAAAAGATCACATTACAGCCAAATCGGTTGAAAAAAGTTACCCAACCTTCCCGAAATATCGAATATTGAGGGTACCCTTAAATGGGGGCTAACCCAAAAAGTGAACCGATATTGATAATTTTTTGTAGGGAGATTTGATACCCTGTGAGAATCCAAAATATCAAATTACAGCCAAATCGGTTGAAAAACGAGACCACTTTCCCAAAATATCGAATTTTGAAGGGTGCCTTTAAATGGGGGCTACCCTAAAAAGTGGTTCAATGTTGATACTTTTTGGTAGGAAGATTTGCTAACCTATGAGAACACAAAATACCATATTACAGCCAAATCCTTTGAAAAACTTACCCAAAATCCTCCAAAATACGAAATTCGGAGGTTCCGTTATAAGGGAGCTACCCAGAAAAATCGACCAACATTGATAATTTTTGGTAGGAAGATTTGCTATCCAATGAGAACCAAAAATACCAAATTACAAACAATTAGGTTGAAAAACGTGTCCAAGCTCCTCAAACATCGGAAATATGGGAGGTACCATTATATGAAGGCTACCCTGAAAAATCGACCAATATTGAACATTTTTAGTAAAGAGTTTTTCCAGCAATTGAGAAACCTAAATACCAAATTACAACCAAATCGGTTGATAAAAGTATCCAAGGTCCTAAAAATCCGAAATTTTGTAGGTACCGTTATATGGGGACTATCCTAAAAAGTGGATCAATGTTTATAATTTTTGGTAGGAAAATTCGTCACCCAATGGGAAACTATAATACGAAATGACAGCCAATTCTGTTGAAAAATTTGCCTAAACTCCTCAAAAATCCGAAATTTTGAAGGTTCCGTTATATGGGGACTAGCCTAAAAAATGGACCAACATTGATAATTTTTGAGGAAAAGAAAAAGAACACGATTTTCCACTGCTGATGAATTTTTCTTCATTGGCTATTTTCTGATGAGTCCTCATACCTCGATATTTTTTCGATAGAATAAAATTTGGTCCTCAGCTTTACTGAGAAATTTTTTTCCTATAATAAAAAATCGGTACTCAGCTTCAGAAGAATTTTTTGCAATAAAATAAAATCGGTCCTTAGCTTCAGAAAGTATTTTTCTATACAAACAAAATTCGGACCTCAGCTTCACTGAGGCTATTTTTTTCTATAAAAAAAAATTCGGACCTCAGCTTCACTGAGGCTAGTTTTTTTCTATAGAAAAAAATTCGGACCTCAGCTTCACTGAGGCTATTTTTCTTTTCAATGGAAAAAAATTCCGACCTCAGCGTCACTGAGGCAATTTTTTCTATAGAAAAAAATTCGGAATTCCGCTTTACTGAGGATATTTTTTTATATAGAAAAAAATTCGTACTTCAGCTTCACTGAGACATTTTTTTTTTTTTTGGTAAAGAAAAAACTTGGACCTCAGTTTTACTGCGGCTATTTTTTCTATAGAAAATAAATCGGACCTCAGCTTCACTGAGGATATTTTTTGTTTCTGTAGAAAAAATTCGGATCTCCGCGTCACTGAGACTTTTTTTCTATAGAAAATAATTCGGAGCTCATTTTACTGAGGCTATTTTTTTTCTATAGAAAAAAATTCGGACCTCAGCGTCACTGAGGCTATTTTTTCTTTTGAGAAAAAAATTCGGACCTCAGCTTCACGGAGGCTAACTTTTTTCTATAGAAAAAAAATTCGGACCTCAGCTTCACGGAGGTTAACTTTTTTCTATAGAAAAAATTCAGACCCCAGATTCACTGTGTCTATTTTTTCCTTAGAAAAAAATTCGGACATCAGCTTCACTGAGGTTATTTTTTTTTTCTATAAAAAAAATCGGACCTCAGTCTAATTTTTCTACAGGAAAAAATTGGTACTCAGACTATGGGCCTTTGAGCCTTAGTTATCAGATACTATATTACATCGCAAAACAAAAATTGGTTCAAGTTTCTGAAGCAAATAAGATTTTGTTGGTTTTGTTTTTATTTTTAATTTTTGTAAACATAACCTTCAAAATCGTAACAAGACAGCTGATTAACCTACAAAACGTCATCGGCAATAACATGTCATTAAAAACTGGAACTAAAATAAAAACCAAAACTGATTTGCATTCGATTTTAGGGTTTTTGGTGCAAAGCTGCACCCAAACAACAACAACAATAATATCATAATTAATAAAAACATTAAAAAATACAACAACAGCAATAACAACAAAAACACATGATTACTTATGTATGTTAATCCCCTTGTTTTCCACACAGTCAAAAAAACTAACAAAACCTGAAAATGAAACTCCTACTCATCACCGTCGCCGCCGTCTGCTGCTTCGCCATGGCCACAATGGCCGAAGAAGAGCAGCAGTACACCAACAAATACGACAATGTCGACTATAAAGAAATCTTGAAATCGGATCGTCTCTTCAACAACTACTACAAATGTCTGACCGATGAAGGTAACTGCACTCCCGATGGCCGTGAATTGAAAAAGATTTTGCCCGATGCCCTGCAAACTGCCTGCTCGAAGTGCAGTGATAAACAAAAGGCCGCTGCCGAAGAGGTAGCCCGTTTTGTCATCGAAAACAAACCTGAGGAATGGAAGGTTTTGCAGGCTAAATACGATCCTGAGGGTGTCTTCTATGCCAAGTACAAGGATGAAGCTGCCAAGCGTGGCATTAAGGTCTAAGTTTGAAGACAATTTAAAATGAAGATCCTTTAAAAAAATACTCCTTAGTTGTAATGGCGCCCAATAGGTCTAATGAATTTTTCCATTATTTCCAAAGAATTTCTCATTGTTATTGTTTGCATTTTGTTTTTCGTTTATAGAATTAAATTGAGGTTTTTATTGTTTTTGTTATTTTGTTAAAAACAACAACAACAAAATAGAAAACATCAAATAAAGTATTAAAATCTAAAAAAAACAAATAAATTATTTTTAACTTATTTCAAGTAAATCATATATAGGGATCAAGAAGACCATCGACGTTATTATAACTGCCATCGTAGCCCCGGACAGAGGTCTGATTTTTTATTTCGATTTCATTTCATAAAGAAAACGGACTTCAGTTCACTGAGCGAAATCATTTTTTTTTGTGAGCTGAGATCCGAATGTTTTTTAGACAAAAAATAACCTCTATGACTTCAGTCCATAGATTTTTTTCTATAGAAAAAAATAGCTTCAGAGAAGTTGAGATCCGATTTTTTTCTATAGAAAAAATAACCTCAGTAAACAGAGGTCTGATTTTTTTGCTATTGAAAAAAAAAATACATCAGTGTGCTGAGGTCCTATTTTTTTCCATAAAAAAACCGAAGTAGGAATTTTTTTCTAAAAAAAAGTCTCACAGAAGTTGAGATTCGAATTTTTTCTATAGAAAAAAATAACCTCAGTAAACAGAGGTCCGATTTTTTTGAGATTCGAATTTTTTCTTAAGGAGAAAATTCCTCAGAGAAGCTGAGGTCCTATTTTTTTTAAGCAAAAAATTGCATCATAAAAGCTGAGGTCCAAATTTTGTTTCTATAGAAAAAATGAGCTGAGGTCAGATTTTTTTCTGTAGAAAAGAGAAGCTGAGGCCCGAAAAAAATTTGCCTCCGAATTTTTTCTTAAAAAAAATTTGAGATGAGGTCCGAATTTGAGGTCCTATTTTTTATAGAAAAATACACTGAGATCCGTTTTTTTTATTTTTAATCAAAAAATTACCTCAGTTAACCGAGGTCCGATTTTTTCTATTGAACAAAAAATAACCTCAGTAGAAAAAATAACCTCCATCGAAAATGAGAGAAACTGACGTCCGAAACTTTCTTTTAAAAAATAGTCTCAGAGAAGCTATGATCCAAATTTTTTCTTTTGAAAAAAAAATTCAAAGAAGCTGAGGTCCGATTTGTTTGTAAATATGTTTGTAAAATTAGCAATATCGATCCACTTTTTAGGGTAGCCTCAAAATACCGAAATTTAAAAGGTACCTTTAAATGGCCAAATTTCGGTATTTTAAGGCTTATGTAAGGCTACCTCCCTAATTTCGGCATTTTTTTAGTTTTTGGCCTTGCTATTCATCCGAATTGCCTGTAGTTTGGTATTTTGAGGTATTATTGGGTAGCAAGTCTTTCTACCAAAAATTATCAATATCGATCCACTTTTTAGGATAGCCACCATTTCGGTATTTTGAGGAGCTTGCGCAAATCTCTCAATAGAAGTCGCTGTAATTTGGTATTTTGGGTTCTCTTAGAGTACCAAATTTTCGTACCAAAAATTATCAATATCGACTATCTTTTTGGGGTAGGCCCCATATAAAGGTATCTTTAAAATTTCGATATTTTGAGGAGTTTGAATAGGTTTTTGAATCGAAATGGCTGTAATTTGGAATTTTTAGTTCTAATAAGTTATTAATATCGATCCATTTTTTTAGGGTAGGCCCCATATAAAATCTTCCTACCAAAAATGATCAAATTTGGTTAACTTTTTTGGGTATCCCCCATGTAAGGCTACCTCCCGAATTTCGACATTTTGAGAGTTTTTGGCCATGTTTTTAATCGGAATTGGCTGTAATTTGGTATTTTGAGGTTTCATCGGGTAGCAAATCTTCATACCAAAAATTATTAATATTGATCCATTTTTTAGGGTAGGCCCCATATAAATTTACCTCCTGAATTTCGGTATTTTGAGGAGCTTGGGCACGTCTTTCAATGGTATTGCCTGTAATTTGGTATTTTGGGTTCTCTTAGAGTAGAAAATCTTTCTTCTAAAAATTAGCAATATTGGCCCACTTTTTAGGGTAGCCCCCATATAAGGGTACCCTCCCATAATCGGTATTTTGAGGATTTTGGGCACGTCATTCAATGGAATTGGCTGTAATTTGGTATTTTGAGGTCTCATTAGGTAGCAATTCTTCGTACCAAAAATTATTAATATCGACCCACTTTTTAGGATAGCCCCTATATAAAGATACCTCCTGAATTTCGGTATTTTGAGGAGCTTGAATACGTTTTTGAATCGAAATGGCTGTAAATTGGTATTTTGAGTTCTAATAGGCTAGCAATTCTTTCTACCAAAAATTATCGAAATTGGTTAACTTTTTAGCGTAGCCCTCAGGTTACCTTCCGAATTTCGGCATTTTGGGAGTTTTGGGCACTTTTTTCATCGGAATTGCCTGTAATTTGGTATTTTGGGTTCTCACTGGGTTGCAAATCTTACTTCCAAAAATTATCAAAATTTTTTAACTTTTTAGGGTAGCTCTCATGTAACGTCGTCACCCCCTAATTTTCGATATTTTGGGGAGCTTGGGCGCCTATTTCAACCTAATTGTTTGTAATTTCGTATTTTGGGCTCTCTTATGTTTCTACAAAAAATTATCAATATTGGTCCCATATAAGGGTACCTTCTGAATTTCGGTATTTAGAGGAGTTTGGGCATGGTTTTCAACCGATTTAACTTTAATTTGGTATTTTGGGTTATCAGTGGATAGACAATCTTCCTACCAAAAATTATCAATATTGATCGACTTTTCAGAGTTGCCCCCATACGTCGGTATCCCCAGAGTTCGGAATTTTGAGGAGTTTGTCCATGTTTTTCAACTAAATTGTCTGCAATTTCGTATTTTAGATTCGTTATTAGGTATACATTTTTCCTACCACCTTCCTGTTTATGGTGTAGAGTGTGTAAAAAGTTCGGTCCACCAAACTAAACTTTTATTGGCATCTTATCAACCACCATCGATTTACACTTTGTCACACAAGAATTAAATTTTTTGGCCAAGTCTATGGTAGCTTTGGCCCGATAACATAAATCCTTCAAACCGGGTGTCATGCTACGGCATAGGCCCACAAAAACTGAAAGCACGTGTCTTATTTTGAAATTAAAAAAAAAAAACAAAAATTTAAATCAATGTCACCCAAAAAAGTCACACGCCAAACAGCAAAAAACAACAAACAAATTAATAGATTTCAAAATTAGTGTGTTCGATGGTGTTTTGAAAAAAAAAAAATCTCTGAATCACACAAAACACCGAAGTGCAGTGGATAATTGGGTTAAGCTGCAACTGGTTTTGAAAAATTTGTTATAAATTTATTTCTAATTCCGGTGTTCTCCAACATGACATGTTCGTTCTAATACATATCTACATATTAATTAACATATTATACATATTTAACTAGAAATCGACGTCGTTAGTTGTTGTTTTTTTGCTATTTTTTATTTGTTTATTTATTCGATTTGAAATCATTCGATAATTTCTAAGTTATTGATGACGAAGTCGCTCCTTATCCTCCGTCCGTTGTGTGTTTATTCGCATGTTTTGTGTTTGTCTGTCGGTCTGTCTCCAATATTGTTGTTTATCTAATAATTTAACAATATTGAAAAAATAACAACAACAAAATAGTATATTCAAATATTAACTGTTACTTTTCATTGGAAAAACATTCAATTTCAATACAAAAACTTCGATACTGACAATTACACATGACAACAACAACAACTGAAAAATAAGAGAGCCATTGCGTATGTCAATATTTTTTACACAGGGAGCGAGATCTTGTTTAGCGGGTAGTTATGGAAAAATTATTGCACTGCTTACAAAACAGTAACAATAACAACAACAATTTTAAGATTTTTTTTGGAAAAAACCCCATACCATGAAAAAAAAATTAAATAAATAGTCACAACAAGTAACGACCGAGTAATTCTGTGGAAAAGTCAATATTTCATATATCGTGAACTATCACGACAACAACAACAACAACGTACTCGTAATGTGAGATTTGATGTGACATCGCGACATATGGACATGCGCAACGTAAATAAAAAAACAACAACTTATAGTTAAATAAAAGTTTAATTTACTTCCAGTTAAAAAAAAGGATCTTCAAAAATCTCCGGGAGAAAAAATATTTTTAAAAAAATCCACCCCTTGGTTACTTTGCATACTTAGCTGGCTTGTGACAGAACTTTCGTTCCATAAACCAAGCTTAAAAACAATTTCTTTTGCGCAGTTTTTCCAGTTTGAAAGATTATATTCGGCAATGTTGCCTTCCGCTTTGTCTTTCCATCTTATTCGTGGCCTTCCTCTTCTGCGTGAACCATAAGCTGGTTCGCTTTTATATGCCTTCTTGGCTGGGGCATCTTCATCCATTCTCACAACATGACCTAGCCAACGTAGTCGCTGCAGCTCAATACGTCTAACAATGTCAATGTCCGAGAATATCTGGTTCATTTCGGTATTTTGAGGAGCTTGGGCACGCCTTTCATCGGATTTGCCTGCAATTAAGTATTTTTAGGTCTCATTAGCTAACAAATCTTTCTACCAAAAATTATTAATATCGAATTACTTTTTAGGGGAGCCCACATATAAAGGTACCTCCTGTATTACGGTATTTTGTGGTACTTGGGCACGTCTTTCATCGAAATTGCCTTAAATTTTTGTTTTTTTTTTATTGGGTTCTGTTGTGGTAGCAAATCTTCTCAGCAAAAATTTTTAATATTAGTTTACTTTTTCGGATATCGAACATATAAGACTACCTCGCAAATTTCCGCATTTTGGGAAGTTTGTCCAAGTGTTTCAACCGAATTGTCTGTAATTTCGTATTTTGTAGACGTTATTGGGTACCACCTTCCTCGTTATGATGCAGAGTGTGCAAAAAGTTCGGCATCTAACCAACCATAATCGATTTACACTTAGTCGCACATGAAATACCTTTT